GGGAACTCTACATGTTGCTCACCGCTCCTAGGTTTTCGGACGGCCCCCTTGTCTACGCGACGGACAACGACGCCGTCTGTGCGGGGTGGTGGGACCGTCTCTTTGAGGCTCCTCGAGGAGCCAATATAGACCTCTGGCGTGATATAGGTAAAGATCTTTTAGCCAAGAATCTGGACCCTGGCTCCGTAGTTGTCCTGTGGGTCCCGTCTCACATCGAGGCCCCCGAGATCCTAGCCAAAGGTGTGCCCCGATGGATGGTCGAAGGGAACATCTTCGCCGACGTTCTGGCAGGAGAAGCGGCCAAAGCCGCTCGTGTCCCTGAGACCCAGAGGCATCGAGTTTTGAGTATCGAGGCTGACGCTTGCAGAATCCGCCACCGTTTGCTTCGGGCTACTTTAGAGGTTGCTGAACTCGAGCGTGTGGGTCGTTTGGAAAAACGGGGCCCTGCTGCTCCTGCTCGTGCCCCCCGACTCGCCCCCTCTGCTCTTGCCGCGGTGGCCCTTTTTCAATTCTTCTCATATTGTCAGCCCATGCGGTATGAAGTGCATAGTGCGTCACGGGCCCACGACTGCGGCAACCAAGGGGGAGTTTTTGAAGTCCGAATGCTTTCGACCTGTTCGGTGCACCAGTCACACAGTTGGGGTTCCTCAGGGGCGGCGTTTACATCTCGCTGGGGGGTGGGTCCACCCGTCTCATCAGATGAGCTTTCACGAGCCTCTTGAAGTCTGGTTCTGCGGATCTTACGGGTGCATCGGCTCGCAGCAGCTGAGAGGCCTCGCCAAGGAATGCAAGCCCCCGACCAAGACGGGCAAGGCATACCTTGCCAGAATAGCCAAAGGCCTCACGCCCAAAGTTCTCAGCAAAGCTGAGAAGGAGGCTCGGTCTTAATTTATATCGGATTCGCTTCGCGCTAGACCTGAATCTCTGAACCTCTTCCTCCTGCTCATGAATGACAGCTTGCAGGCGCCTGCCATGGAATGCCCCGGGTGCCCAGCGCCAGGGCCAACCACCTTCGTTTCTTTAGGGATGCTGGACGGGGGCGACCCGAAGATGGGTCACATGCTTTCCCAGCAGGCGCCGAGCGAGGAGGCGGGCCCTGAGCATGAGGGGCTCGAAGATGCGCCCAAAGGCGGTCGCGGCGGCAGCAGGAGCTTCCAGCGCAGGGGGCGGCGGGGCGGCGCTCTCCACCATGGGCCGCCCTCCGCGCGGCGACGCGGCGAAGGCGGGCGGCCCGCCCCGTTTTCTCTCCGCGCGCGAGGCCCGTGTGCCCTCCGAGCGCCGCGGCCCCCCGATCCAGGGTTGCGGGCGGCTCTGTCGTCGGCTGCGCCGCGGGCCCTCGGTCGGGGGATGCCGGCGGCATGAGGAGCGGGAATCGCGCCGCCGTTTCGCGTCGCGCGGGCGGGATCCGATGTCGCGGGGGCTCCGCTGCGCCGCCGCGCGCGTCGCCCGCCCTCCGAGGGGGCGCGATCGATGCGGATTTCATCCCGAGCCCTCGCGACGGCGAGAGTTCGGGGTCTGACTAATCTCGAGGGGCGCGCCGCTCGGCCAAAGGGCAGCCTCCTCGTCGGAGGGGGTGGCCCTGTGGCCGCGCAATGCCCTTCCTTAGCTTGCTCTTCCGCATGACATGGGGCCCGCTGGTCGCTTCAGAGCTCGCCGCGCACCCCCCCCCCCCCCCCCCCCCCCCCGCCCCTCGCAGCGGCTCGCCCTGCAGGGCGACCAGTGTTTCGAGTCGAGTCCAGCCGCGATGTTGATCCCCTACGAGAGCCCTTGTGAGACTATTGAAACAAAATTTGCTTCAAATGCGCTCAGTTGCAGTTCAGCGACAGTTCAGTTACATGGTGCCGCCCAGATAGCACCTCCCACCATGCGACCCAGATGCTCACGATATACCCTCGTGCAACTCCCAGGTGCATTCAAACATGCATCACACAGGCCATACTATGACAATGATGATATGACAATGGTGGTACGACAGTAATGAGAATAATGATGGCGTGACAATGGCGATACGACGATGACGAGAGTACCCCCCCCCCCCTCCGATTATGACAATGGTGATATGACAGCAAGCAGTAGGTTCAGTATCGACCTGAACCTCTATAGCTTTGGCCCGAGTCGCCAGCCATCGCGGCATTTGATCTGGCCCCCGAACGTTTAGGCGAGGTGATGACATGGAAAGAACAGCTGCCAGAACGGAACATCGCGGCTGCTCAGAACAGACAGACCTTGCTTGAGACGAGGTTCGAGGTGGTCATCCGAGATCGGTTGCGGGGCGACGTGGGCAGACAGCTTGCAGTGATTGGCAGGGGCCACTCTATCCCGGCAGGATGCGCAGCGGGTTGGCGAGCGATCAATGGGAACGGGGTCGACGGCGGCAGGTCTGCACCGAAGAGTCAACCAGGGCGGTCGCCCAGCCAGCCCCCGCGGCCTGAACAGCGCCAGGCCGGCCCATCCTCCACAGCGCCCTGCTGGGCAACGTTCGCCCAGATCCCAGTGCACCACTGCCATGTATGAAGGCGGTGGTGATAATGGCGGTGAAAAACATGCCTCATCCGCCTGCGCATCCTCCGCCACCCCTGGGCGTCCGATCACCCCCTCCTAAACCTTTTGTTTATTATCCTGCTTCCCGCCCTCCCCCATTCACTGTTTCACCCCCTGCCTCCGCTCGCTCGCCGCCCATTTCGAACGCCCCCCCGCCCCCCCCCCAGTCCTGCCGCGCCCGCGCCCGCAGCGGCGGCGCAGGGCGAGATCGCGACCGACGCGGAGCAGGAGAACAGCGACCGCGGCGAGCCAGCGGACATCAAGGCGACCCTTACTCCCCGCCGAACCGCTCGCCGCGACGGCAAAGCAACGCCCCCCCCCTCTCCGCCACCGAGAACACGCGTGAATTCCCGCGCGCCCCCCCCCCCCCATCCCCCTCCCCCCGCCCCCCCTCATGACATGTTCCAAACGGAATATGATGTCTTATATTCTGCGGCGGCGGGCTCGCTGGCGGCCGCGATCGCGGGGGGAAGGGGGGGGGGGGGGCGCGGGGAAACGCGGCGCGTTCATGGGGGGAAGAGAAGGGGGCGACGAGGAGGAGGATGAAGACGAGGAGGGCGATGAGGAGGAGGACGATGGGGGAGTAGGGAACAGAGGAAAGGGGGGAAATAAGGTTCGCGGGGAAATGAGGTTCGCTGTCCGAGGGCGCGCTGCGTCCTCAAGCGGCCCTTTGCGAGGCTCCTTTTCGCCGCGGCTGGGCTCGCCGTCGAAATCTTGGCCCGCGTGCGTCGGAGGGCGGGCCCATGGGCCGATCCTCGTGGGGAGTGCCCGCACCCTGACACGTCGATCAGCGAATTGTCCTCTTTCGGTTCTCGAGAGGGCGCCGCGGCCGTCATTCGCCAGGCTCGCGGCCGGCAGGTTTGGACCCGAGGTCGTTTTCATTAAACCACGTTTTATTGAAGGGGTCTGTGTCCATCCCCGAATAGCAAGATGGTGCGAATCGAGGATCGCTGCTCGACGGAGGGATCGACCGGGTTCTGGAGTCGAGGGGGGAGCAGCGAGGGAGACAGGGGGGATCGAAGGGTTCCGAGGGTTCAAGGCATTGGGGTCGGGATCGAGGGTTGCCCGGGAAGAATGGTGGTCCGCCTGAAAAGCTTCGCAAGCATGTGGCATCGACGACATTCGTGATTTCTCCGTTCGCTCGGATTTTCTGGCACCTTTCGCTCGCGCGATGCCGCCCCCGTTTCTATAAACAGCCTTCGCACTGTTTGGAGACCCGGATCTCCGACGATATGATGTTTCACTTTGGGCGTTTCTCCTCGAGCTCAGCCTTCGCCGAGACCCGCAATGGGGCCCCCAGAAGGAACAACAATCCGGTGCGAAAAATTTGCCTTCGGAGGGCCAGTATCTTTGGGCCACGCTTTCACGACAGCACGTCGTCGGATATGTAGGAAGCTTCACCCTTGGCTCCTTCACTTGGCATCCGGCGTGCGTCGATCAGTGGGCGATGCCGAACGGGGTTAGGACGAGGGTAAATCCGTTCCGGAGCGTTCCAGAACGCTATGAGACCGTTCCAGAATGCGGCGCCCGAAACATCCTTCAGAACCGCCGGATTTCAGAGATTCTGGATTCATCCTCACCCAATGTGTTCCTCGTCCTGGATTCGTCCTACGATGTCTTCCACCCGGGCGCCGCACACTGAAGTGCTGGCCTTCACTTGGGGATCAAACGGTCGCATAAACATCGGCGCTGGGGCCCCCTGGCGGCGTTTCCGGCGCCGCCCCTGGCGCGCTCCGCGGCATGGAGGGGGTCCAGCGCCGTTCCGAGCAATCCGCGCGGACCTCCGAGTTTTCATGTTTATGTCATTGTTTGTTCCCCTATCCATCGGTGGTGGACAGACCCCCCACCCTGACATGTCGATTGGTGCATTGCCCGTTCTCGGTTGTCGAAAAAAAGCCGCGGCCGCGCCGGGCCCGAGGTTGATTTCACTAGACCATTTTTGAATAAAGTCGGCGTCGCCCCAACATCTTTATGCTATATGTGCGTCGCCCCCCCAGGGGCGACGCGCGCACCGAGAAATCTTATAGTATATGCGTCGTGGCGGGCGTTTCCTGGCCACACCGCTCGGGAAACGATTTGCTACAAAGGGGGTCTACTCTATATTTGTTCGGGCCGGAGACGCGTGCCTCCAAGGAGGACATCTGGTATTCGTCTGTCTTTGCGCGCCCCAGAAAAAAAAGGGGCCCCAGAGATCCGATGTCGTGATTTTTTCAATACGGGGTCCCCTGAAGTCTCGACCCACTCCCCAGGACCGGTTTCTCATCCTGAGTCGTTTTCTGACGGTCCCGGGGCCCGGCGAGGGCCCCTCGAGGCCGAAAATTGAGAAAAACCTCCGTCGTGATTTTTTCAAGATGTTGGATCTCTGGGGTTCTGTCCATCCCCGAATCCACGCCGCCCCGTCCCAACGCCGCCTCGCGCTGCTCACAGGCCCCTGGGCCGGGCGCCCATGCATCCGCGCCATGGCGCCTGCTAGCTCCGGCGGAGCAGCAGGGGAGGCGGCGCCCGAGGGGGGGCGAGGCAGGGCGCGACCCAATTTGGGGGAACAAGAAGTGACAAAAACATAAAAACTCGGAGGCCCGACCAGCCATACCTGGGGGGGCTGTGGTCCTTACCCCCTCTCGAGAGGGGTGTCGAAATCGATGGGTCTCCCTGGGGGGTAATAGGGGTGCAAAAAGTGACATAAACATAACAACTCTGAGGTCCGCGTGGATTTCTCGGATCGCCAGACCTATAGATCGATCTGGATTGCCTCAAACCTCGACAGGAATTAGGGCGTCGACGTCCTGGTGCTATTTTGTAGCCCTCGTGGAGGGTCAGGGTTGGGGGAACAACAAGTGGCATAAACACAAAAACTCGGAGGTCCGCGCGGATTTCTCGGATCGGCGCTGGACCCCCCTCCCTGGCGCGCGGAGGTGCCCGACTTAACTCTAAACCAGCGTTTGCAGGGGAACAAGAAGTGACATAAACATAAAAACTCGGAGGTCCGCGCGGATTGCTCGGATCGGCGCTGGACCCCCCTCCTTGGCGCGCGGAGCGCGCCAGGGGCGGCGCCGGAGGCGCCGCCCGGGGGCCCCAGCGCGGATCCGAGAAATCCGCGCGGACCTCCGAGTGTTTATGTTTATGCCATATTTTGTTTCCCTACAATCGCTGTTTTAGAGTTAAGTCGGGCACTTCCCTGTACAGGAGGAGTGCTCCCCAATCGGCGCTTGCACTGCAAAGGGCCCTAGCAGAGGTTGGAAGATTTGGCGAAAGTTTCCCGCCGATTTTGTCAGCAGGCTGGTTTCCCGGGTTCCCGGTTCCGGATTCCGGTTATTGGTTCCGGGCCGATTTCGGTGGGTTCTGGGTTCCCCGGCTCCCGGGTTCCCGGTCGATCTCCTCAACGAAAAACGTCTATTGATTAGGTTTTTTTCGGTGTGAATCAAAAATAGTTTAAAGTAGCCTATGGATCATTCTTCTATCATTTTTCGAAAATGATTGAAGCTTGTTGGACCATTTTTTTAATGTCCTGCCCAGATCTGCCTGCAGGTGGACATGCCCGACCTAAGCCTAGCGATCTCGTAGTTTGTCGGGGGCGGCAAAGAGGGGGGTGATGACTAGGGGGGGTGGATTTCATGGCGTGGGCCATGATATTTCACCAGATTTCATGGCGCCTCTTCTCGTTTCATTGCGTCCCTGGCCCCCCTGCTGGGCCGCGCACATGCCGCCGGTCATGACTTGCACCCCCCCTTCTTGGACACCCCCCTCTTGGCCGCTCCCGAGTTTGGAGTTCGGTCTGCAGCAAAGGCGGGCTGACGTCGGAACGAGGGGGAAAAACGACAGCGGCACGGGAACCGAGAACACTGTCCAGGTCGACCCCCCGGGGCGAGGGGGATTCGGGAGGGGCAAAAAACACGCAGACACAGTGAATCGTCGATTCCCCCCTTAAAAAATAAGAAATATGGGGAGCGGGGGGGAAGACAACAGCCCCGAAAATATGGGAAAATGTGGGGGATCTTCTTATTTGTGTGTGTGTGTGTGTTTATTTGTGTGTGTGTGTGTGTGTGTCCCAGGGCCCCTGCAGGGCTGTCGTCCCGTGCTCCGGCGCTGCCGGAGATGGCCCTCGATCTCCAGCGTGGCCAGGCGTTCCCGAGGGCGGGCCCGGGTGGCCACGCCCCTCGGGCCCCATGGGGGTGGCCCAGGAGCGAAAAAGGAGAAAAGCAGCCAATAATGGAGGATGATGATTAAAAAATGACCGGGGGTCGTGTTCACGCGGCGGCGCCCGGATGATGATTAGAAAAAACCGGCCGCGGGCTGGAAAACTATTTTTTAATCGTTCTCCTCCAGTCAGAAAATTGTGCAGAAATCGCCGAAAACTATTTTTTTAATCGTTCCCCCCCATTTTGTTTATTAATCGTCATCCCGCATTACATAAACACAGACTCTCGACGCTGCGCGCGAATGTCGTGGGCCGGCGCAGGTCCAAGAAGCCCGCAGGGACCGCCCACAGTTTGTGTCTCCGCCGCGTTCGGCTCTTCTGGGAAGCAACTGGGGGCGCCTTTTATGCCGTGCAGATTCGCGGGGCCTTGCCTGTGGAGTCGACGCGCCTATTAGGCCTGGGTTCGACCTGGGCACGGCGCGGTCTCCGTGCGAATAGCGGCGCCGCGTGGCGGACACGGTCTGGGGTTTTGGTTTTGCCCTTTCTTCTTCTAGCATTAGGTCGGGCTCGTCCCTTCACAGGAGGAATATTCAAAAACAGTCAAAAAATAGTCGTGGGACTTTAAAAAAAAAACATTTGGGAGTATGATTGAAGTATTTTTTATTTTTCGTCGAAAACCCCTGTAAACGGACACGCCCAACTTGATTCTAGCACTAAAAACATGGTGAGACGTGGCGTCTTTCGGCGCAACTGAAGGCCGAAAGACGACATGGTATTCTTGCATTAGGGGTAAGGCATCCGGGCGGTTTGGTCTGGTACACCTGCCGAAAAAGCCCCCCTATCCCTAAGGCGTTTGGCCACCCAACGTAGGTCGCCTCCCAGAGGGTTGGGGCTCCTTTCATTGCTGATCATCTCCTTCCATCTAAGGTTGAGTCGGGCACGCCCCTCTACAGGGGGAATGTTCAAAAATAGTCACAGAATAGTCTGGGGACGATTTCCCTATTCTTTTCTGTTGCTGTTTCTGCGCACGTGTTGACTCTTGCGAAGGCCTCACGATCTTCCTCGTATTGTTTGTTGCTGTTTCTGCGCATGTGTGTTGACTATTGCGTCTTACGGCCAGTGCCGCCGACCCTGTGCGCTATAGGAGGGGGGGAGGAGTAGGAAGATGATGATGATGAGGAGGAGGAGATGTGTTATCATTATCATGATTTTTACGATTAACAAAACAAACCAAACACATAACAACATCTGCCTGTAGGAGGACGTGCCCGACCTTACGCTGAGGCCCGAGCGCCCGCTCGTGGCCCCGAGTGGCCCGCCGCGGGCGGAGAGAGAGCGAGAGCGGCCCGGGAGCGCCTCGTTCCGCGGCGGGGGGCGCGGGGGCCCCCGCCGCCCGCCGTCTTGTCCGGGGCGCGGCGGGCCCCCGCCCCGGGGCGGGGCCCGCTGCGGCTCCTGCGGGCCGAGCCGACGGGACCTCCGTGGCCTCCGATGCCGATCCCAGGAGGCCTCGGACCTCGGCTCGGGCTCGGACTTCGGACCTCGGCTCGGGCTCGGGCGCCGCCCGCCGTCCCGCCCGGGCGGGGCCCCCGCCCGGGGCGGGGCCCGCTGCGGTGCCTGCGGGTCGAGTCGATTGGACCTCCATTGGGCCCTGGCATCGCTCGGACGTGTGCATGTTTTTCTCGCGGCGAGGGCCATCGAGGACCATCCTTGAGCACTGGGCGGAAAACAAAAATGAGAACACGCACGAGATCGAACATAATACACGAGGAATGGACGTCCCAGCGAGGGCGAGTGGCTTCCGGTGCCGACCCGAGGATACTTCTCGGACCTTCCAGGAGGGCTTAAAAATAGCACCAGGACGTCGACGTCCTAATTATTGTCGAGGTTTGAGGCAGTCTGGAGTGCTACTTTTTAGCACTCTGGAAGGTCAGGGGACCTCCGTGGCTTCCGATGCCGATCCGAGGAGACTTCTCGGGCCTCGGCGCGGGCGCCCCGACCTCTCTCTCTCCGCCGGAGAGGCCCGCCCGCCTGCCGACTTGTGTCCGCTGGCTCGACGTTGCCCGCCTCGGCTGCCGAGCTTCGCCGATCCGATTCGTGTCGGCCGCCGATCCGACTCATCGCTGTGGAAGTCGATTTGCCAGGGAGGAAGCATGCTGCCAAGTAATTCCCAGATGTCTAAAACATGTTTCAAACATGTTTCAAATCTGTAGAAACACGTTTGATTTGTTTGAGCATGTTTTTCACACACATTTTAAACACATCTTTAGTCCATTGATCGGATGCTTAGAGTGTCTGGTGTCGGGCCGGACGAAAGGGGGGGATCAGGAAAGGGGGGGGTACGAAATTTGCTGCATGCAGCTGGTTTCGGCCTCACCGAGGGCCCCATTCCTCGATACATAGCCGCCCCCGGCGCCGGGAGGCGCCGGGAAAATCAGCTACGTGAGCTGACTCTCAAAGCCCCCCTTTGCTATCCCCCCCCTATCGCCCGACCCGATAGTGTCATGGCATCCACAGACTTGTCGACAGTCGATGCTGGGCGCTCCTCCCCGGGCGGGGCTCCAGATCAACGGGGCCAGGGGGGCCCCCAGAGGGGCTCCAGATCGGCGGGGCCAGCGGGGGCGCGGGATCTTGGCGGGCGCTCCTCCCCGGGCGGGGCCGGAGGGGCCGGCTAGGCCGGGGCTCCAGAGTGGCGGAACGCGCGCCTGGCCCGGAGGCCCCCTGGCGCTGCAGTGTTTTTGTCGCACCGGGCGTGCTCGCCTCCTCCTCCTCAGCCTCCTCCTCCTCGCCTCCTCCTCCTCCTCTTCCTCCTCCTCCTCCTCGCCTCCTCCTCCTCCTCCTCCTCCTCCTCCTCCGCCTCCTCCTCCTACTCCTCCTCCTCCTCCTCCGCCTCCTCGCCTTCTCCTCCTCCTCCTCCTCCCTCCCTCCCTCCCTCCTTCCCTCCCTCCCTCCCTCCTCCTCCTCTCGGGCCCCGGGGCATCACGGGTCGATCCAGGTCGAAACATGGCGCAGGATGAGAAGGGTCCGGGGCTCCAGTCGTGATCTTTCTCGATGTTACAATTTTTTGTCACAACGTCGGATCTCGGGGGGGGGGAAGTGAGAAGGAGAAGACCTTCTCAGAAGGCGGCGGGACTTCTCATAGGCCCTCGCGCCTCCTGAGAGGTGTTCAGTGTCTTCGAGCCTTCTGAGATGTGTTCTGCGGCTTCGAATACTTTTCAAAAGGCCTGGGGAATTCGAGCCTTCTGGGAAGGCCTTTTCCTTCTCACTTCCCCCTGGGCTCGCCGCCGACAAGAGACGGGTATCAATGCAAACGGAGGTCAGCCAGAGCGGCGGATCTTGCAGGATCCTGCAGAGCCAGGGGCG